CGTCGGCCTCGAGATGTACTACTCGGAGACGCCGTCCGTGTCTGTGATCATCACCGGCTTCCCACCGACAACGACCTCACCGCCCTCGACGCCTTCTCCAGCTTCTACTTCAAGATGTCCTACAAGTTCCTCCGCCGCGAGTCGGCCGTCGTGCGCTACGGGCTGCCCTCGGAGCCGAAATACCTGGGCCTCCGCGACTCCACGACCGTCTGCAACGCGCTCTTCACCAACTGCGACCAGCGTCCGTGCTACGTCCAGTCGCCCAACTTCCCCGGCATGTACCCCAGGAACACCACCTGCTACTACCACCTGAGTCAGACCCGCCTGATGGAGGGCAAGCGCGCCGTGATCGCCCTCAGCCAAGACGACGGCCGCCTCGTGCACGTCAAGAGCGCCGTGCAGTCCCACGACACCACGGAGCGCCACCTCAAGCTGTACGAGGAGTGCTATTACGTCGGGGATTACGTGCGGGTGTACGACGGGCCGTACACGACGTCTCCCGTGCTGATCACCTTCTGCCGCGGCGCCAACGTGCCCGAGATCGTGTCGTCGGGCCCGGACATGCTCATCGAGTTCACGACGTCGCCATACGACTGCCCCCACCACGAGATGCCTTGGACGCACGTCGCCGGCTTCGAGCTGAAGGCGCAGACGCGATTCACGGCCGAGACGAACCTCGGCGAGGACTGCCGCATGGAGGTCCGCAGCTCGGCCAACCGCACGGGCTGGCTGGAGGGCCTCGCCCACAGCGTGCCGCCCAACACCACCTGCGTGTGGCAGTTCCTGGGCGAGCCCGGCCAGATCGTGTGGATCACCTTCGCGCAATACAAAACGCACACGCAAGTCAAGAAACTACAGACGAAATACTGCTCAACCAAGCTGACCGTCAACGACGGCGTGTGGCCCGAAGGGGACGAGATCGCCTGCCACTGCCACGACAACGAGCCCCGCACCTGCGACCGAGCGCGCCGCCTGCTCGACGACCCCAACGTCAGGCCCTGCGGCAGGAACGAGTCGTACATCTCCTCCGGCAGGAACCTCAGCATCTCGCAACTCTTTGGCGACGGAAGCGTGGTGACCAAAGTGACCTTCTTGCTGAGGTGAGAGTCGTTGTGTTGGATTACCGTAAAGCTGAAATTTGTTAATTGTGTGCGAATAAAGCGAACTTACTGTTTTTTCCTTTGCAGGTACGAGTTCGTGGACCAGATCCAGGCGGGCGAGTGGGACGGCGACCCCTGCAGGCGCGTCATCCGCAGCGACGGGGCTGCGCAGGGCGGCAACTTCACGCTCACGGCGCCGCACAACATCTTCCTGTACGGCCGCGGAGGAAGCCCGACCCTGTCGTGCTCGTGGCGGCTGCTGGCGGCGGAGGACCAGGTGGTCCGCCTCACCATCAACAGCATCCGAACGGGGTTGTCCGAGTGCAGGACGCAAGTGAATCGCCAGACGAAGGCGCTCATGTGCGTGCCCCGCGGCCGCGCGCACATGTCGCTGACGGTGTCGGAGTGGCCGTGGCCAGACATCGAGCTGCCGCTGGCCTGCGTGTGCTCGCAGGACTCGATCCCGATCACGGAGGTGTCCCACGGGCCCGACCTCACGCTGAACCTCACCATCACGGGCATGCAGCCGCACGAGGACTTCCGCCACTACTACTTCAACGTCTCGTACGAGTTCGAGAAGGCGCCGGGGTGCGTGGGCTCGACGCGCATGCTGTCGGGGCCCGCCGGGGAGATCGTGGCCGCGTCGTCGCCGTCCTCCGAGAAGGCCAAGTGCGAGGGCTTCCCGTGGCTGCTCAAGACGCCGCCCAACCACGCCCTCTTCCTGACCCTGCCGCGGGGCGAGCCTCGACAACGGCACGTGCGCCTCCGACACGCGCCTCTTCTTCCACGTGCCCGGGCGCGCCGAGCCCGTGTACGGCGTGTGCCCGGCGGCGGACCCGGCGGCGGCCATCACGTTCTTCTGGGCCGCCGCGCGAGTGGAGCAGCCCGCCGCCGCCGCCGCCGGAGGAGACGGAGGCCGGCGACGCCAGCGGCTACGACGACTCCGAGGACGACTTCAAGAGCAGCGAGCTGGACTTCCGGGAGTCGTACGGCGGCCGAGGGTCGTCCCTGGTGGTGGTGTGGGAGCCGCGCAGCGCGTCGCGGCTCAAGCTGCGCTGGCTCACCACGTGGAGTCCGGCCGACCTGGAGGGCTACGACTACGCCTACGCCACGGCGTCCCTGGAGGGGCGCAGCGGCTGGCGCGACCTCCCGCCGGAGCCGCCCTGCAAGGAGCTGTGTCCCGAGCTGGGTCCTGCGTGCATCCCGGCGGAGCTTTGGTGCGACGGGAAGCAGCACTGCCCGCAAGGTGAGTGCGGGGGGGGGGGGGGGGGGGGCGATGCGGCCGAAGGATTTTTGACTTGTGTCCCTTTATCTGTCTAAAATAAAAATATGTGTTATATATATATATATATAATATTATATATATTATATATATATATATATATATATATATTATATATATATATATATTCTGTGTGTATATGTGCAATGCGTGTGTGTGTGTGTGTGTGTGATGTGCATGTGTCGTGCTGTGTGTTTGTGTGTGTTTCACATTGACAGATGACATGATAGACAACTGATGAACATACTGAGAACAGACACATGAGTGGTATATAAGCCCATATAACCCTAGTGAGGTAACTATATAAATAGTATTTTCAAATAATCGTTATGTCACCAATGTCAAATGGCGCCTAATATCTACGGTATATATCCCGCCATATTTCATTATCAATCGAGAGAGAGAGAGAGAGAGAGAGAGAGAGAGAGAGAGAGAGAGAGAGAGAGAGAGAGAGAGAGAGAGAGAGAAGGAGAGAGGAGAGATGAGAGGGAGGAGAGAGGAAGAGAGCGGAGAGGAGAGAGAGAGAGGAGGAGGCGAGAGAGAGAGGAGGGGGGGAGGGAGAAGAGGAGAGACCAAACAGACGAGGATGGAGAGAACGGGGAGAGGAGGTGAGGAGAAGGGGGGGAGAACGAGAGACGAGAACAAGGGAGAGAGACCACGACGAGAGAGAGTGAGAGCAGAGGGAGAGAGACCGAGAAGAGGAGAGGGGGGGGCACGCAGGGGAGGGGGGGGGCGAGTCGCTCGTACGGGGGTGCGATGAGGGGGGGCGCGGAGACGAGAAGGAGGCGAGGCACACAACAAGAGATGTAGAGAGAACGGGCGCAAGAAAACAAACGCGCGTGTTGGAAGCAGGAGAGGCGCGTGAGGCGTTGAGGATGGAGAAGAGCGACGGAGACGGAGAAGAGCGAGGAGAGGTGACGGTGAAGACGAGGAGCGAGAGAGATTGACAGATGAGAGAGAGAGAGGAGGCGGCCTGCTGGTGGGGGGGGGAGGGAGGGGACAAACACGAGAGGAGAGAGGAGGAGAGGCGCGAGAGGAGAGAGAGAGAAGACGGAGAGAGGGGAGGAGAAGCGGAGGAGAGAGGGAGGAGAAGGGAGGGGAGAGAGGAGGATCGGAGAGAGGGAGAGAGACGAGGAGAGCAGGAGGAGAGAGAGCCAGAGGGGGGAGGACGGACGAGAGAGAGGAGAACAGAGTAGGAAGAAGAGACGAGGAGAGACGACGAGGAGGAGCGGAGTAGGGTACGGGAGAGGAGGAGTGGGAAGAGACAGCGAGGACCAATAAAGAGAGAACGCGAGCACCCGACAGCAGTGCGGAGAGTGGCGAGAGAACGCAGGAAGGAGGAGAGAAGAGAGGAGGAGAGAGAGAGAGAGAGAAGAGGACGGAAGAGGAGACAGATGAGAGAGAGAGATAGAGACGAGGAGATGTGGAGAGAGTGGGCGGGGAAGGAAGGTGGGAGACAAACGCGGAGAGAGATTAGTCGGGAGAGGAAGGTGGAGGAGAGAGATGAATGAGAGGACGATAAGACGGGCCTCGAAACAGTGAGCCCGCGAGGAGAGAGCGAGAGAGCAGACCGACGAGAGACGAATGAAAGAGAGACGACGAGAGATGAGGGAGGGTCGTGAAGGAGACGAGAGAGAGAGAGAGAGAGACGAAGGACGAGAGAGACGAGAGAGAGAGAGAAGAGAGAGAGAGAGAGAGAGCGAGAGAGAGAGAGAGAGAAGAAACGAGAGAAAGAGAAGACGAGAGAGAGGGAGAGAGAGAGAGAGAGAGAGAGAGAGAGAGAGAGAGAGAGAGACGAGAGAGAGAGAGAGAGAGGTGAGAGGAGAGAGAGAGAGAGAGAGAGAGAGAGAGAGAGAGAGAGAGAGAGAGAGAGAGAGAGAGGAGAGGAGAGAGAGGAGAGAGACAGAGAAATAAAGAAGATGAGAGCGAAAGAGAGCGAGAGAGAGCGAGAGAGAGCGAGAGAGAGAGAGAGAGAGAGAGAGGAAGGAGAGAGAAGAGAGAGAGAGAGAGAGAGAGACGAGAGAGAGAGAGAGAGAGAGGAGAGGAGGAGAGAGAGGAAGAATGAGATGAGAAAGAGAGAGAGAGAGTCCTTGATTTCGTATTCTGCGTCGGAATTATAGGGTAAACTTTTGATACAAATATTCACATAATCTAATGTGATTTAACAAAATCTTGATATGGAAATGCATCATTGGAAATTATATCCATATCTCTAGAATTAACCTCTAAAGAAATATATACAAAAAACCTTCGAGTACATTTAGGATATAGTGAAAGGAGGCAAAATAACATAACGAAAAGAACCATAAAAAAGAAACAGAAATGAGATGAATACCAGAGAGCGAAAATAATTCCACTCCATATGAGAACACACAGAGACGAACGGGCCCGATATAACGAAGACCACATATAATTACACCGTCCTAGAACGAGCATATCGCCGGGTCACGTTACAACCATACGGCTCCAATACCTCTTGTCGAACTATGAGAAGCACGCCGGACTGCAGGACCCCCGATAAGCATAGTTTAACTGTTAACATCGCAATTAGCAGCCTGGCGGAGTGTCCTTCGGGATATTTGTCCGCTTGCTTTGGGTGCTGCAAAGGGAACGGATGA